TTGATTAAGTTGGTAATTTTTTTTTGTAATACAATGACTTAAATAATTGAAATAAAATGACATTTAACGACAATTTAATCCATTTTTTCATTTTAATCTTTCAATTGGTTACATTTCACTGAACAGATGGATTACTTAATTACAATATCCAATTCGTTCTTACATGCTGCAACATTCCTGAAACGAAATATAATTGTTTGTTTAATTTTTTTGTTTTTTTTTGAAATTTTTTTCAATTTTAACAAAATTTGAATATTTTAACAAAATTTGAATCTTTAATCTTTTATCCAACCATATTTATTCATCCATTCATTTTTCCTCTGCTATCTCTGTTGAGGAAAGAGGAAAAGGATTTGTAAAATATTTTCGAAAAAATTTTTTCAACCATTTAAAATTTCGAACTTTTGGATAATGGAAAAATAAGTTTTGAGAATTATTAATGATTAAGAGTAAAGAATGGGAAAAGAGTTAAAAGATATGATAAAGAGTATGGAAATAAATATATCAATCACAGATAAGCATTGAGAAAAATGGCAAAAGAGTATGAATTCGTAGTAGAGATGATGAATGAAAATGGAATAATTGTTATTGCATATGGAAAAGGAAACAGAGATTGATAATATTCTTGGAAGTATTAGAGATGAAAGGAAATTGAAAATAATGATGAAAAAAGTTATAGCTAATATAAAAGAGAATGTTAGAATGAACAATGTCACAGAAATATAATGTAAATTTGAGAAAGATAAGGATGTTAATGCAATCATTCTTAAAAATACCTTTGCTATAGGCGCAAAAGGTGATTCATTTATTTATGTATTTCAGCGCGAAATTGCCTATCCATGAAACAAAATATATTACACGGCCAATCAGTTGATTATTTACGGCCCGTCAAATATCGCAAATCATTATCATTCACTATCATTGGTCCATAAGATATTTCCAGCCATTATCATTTATACATTCCATCAGATACTTATCATTCATACAGCTCATCAGATATTTATCATTTACACTGCCCATCAGATACTTATCATTAACACGGCCTACCAGATACTTATCATTCGCAGAGCTCACTAGATGTTTATCATTCACACGTCCCACTAAATACTTAAACATTCACACGGCGCACTACTTATCATTCACACAGCTCACTAGCTATTTCCAATCGTTATCATTCACACGGTCCACCAGATACTTATCATTCGGTCCACTACTTATCTTTCACATAGCTCACTAGCTATTTTCAATTGTTATCATTCACACGGTCCACCAGATACTTATCATTCACACGGCCTACCAGATACTTATCATTCACATAGCTTACTAGATATTTCCAATCATTACAGAGCCCACTAGATGTTTATCATTCATATAGTTCACCAGATGTTTATTATTCACACAGCCTACTAGATATTTCCAGCCGTTATCATTCATACGGCCCACCAGATACTTACATTCACACGGCCTACCAGATATACGGCCCACCAAATACTTATCATTCACATGCCCACCAAAATACTCATCATTCACAAAACCCAGCATATATTTTGAACCAATGTCATTTTTTGGACTAACATCATACAGTCTGATGTAGATATTTCACATCGCGCAGATTTTTATGTTTTTACTACCGCGATAATACGGGGGAGAAAGAATCTGCGAATTGTTAAGAACAGCATCTCTCATCTCTTTTCGCTCTATCATACTTGATCTCATATCGTTTTTTTCTTCAAAACAGTTTACTTCAACTTTCTAGTACTTTAACCTAATTTACATTTGAATTTGAACATCGTGTTTTTGTTTACCGTGAATTGAATGCTTTTGTTTATCTCTCATTGATCTCTCTGTTTACTTTTTTACTTTTGTTTACTTATGCTTATAGAAGGGTTATATTCTACCCGTTTTATCTGTTTACATATATTTGTTTCAATTATTTACCTATTAATTACAATTTGACGAATGATTAAATATTGTCATTTACACTTTTTTTCACTTTATCGCATCTTTTGAAAGTTTCTAAAAAAAAGTCATTTTCAGTTTTTTCATAGAGGGATTATTGCTTTTTAGTTCTGGAATGAAATGAGAAATATTGGAATAAAATCGATAGAGTACGAACCACTAGGTAAAATCATTCGAATGAGAAACACGGGATAAAATTATTATAGCACGGGATTGTACCATTAAAAATTGAGACAGGATAAAATCAATAAAATGGGAGAAAACATCGGGAGAAAAATTAATGGAATGCGAAACGTCAAGTTAAGTTACGGGAAATGAGAATTACCGGGATAAAATAATTGGAATGAGAATCAAACGATAAAATTTGATGGATAAGAATTATTGTTCGGAATATATTTCTGTTTTCATTTGGAATTACTCGTTTGTCTATTTTAGTATTTGTTCCATTACTGCTGCTTTTTTTTGTTCCTTTTTTTTTATCTGAAAAGTTAAATGAAAGAGATGTATCGAACTTATGTAAGTTAAATGAATTGAATCAAATTTATTTAAATTAAATAGATTTGATCGATAAATTATTTGGATTAAAGAAATTGACTTAAACTTATTTAAATTGAATATTTGTATAAATCATTTATTCACATAATTTACTTTATGTCATTGCATTTGTTTGCGTATACATTACCATTAACCCATTCAAATTTACCTAATCTAAAATTTCGGTTAATCTGAAAATTATTTCTATTAAGCTTTTGCACTAGCAAAAGTAACGTTGGAAATTTTTTAAATCAAGAATGTTTTAAACAATTTTCATAATTTTCCAGAGTTAAATGAACTTGAATGAAATTAGCGAAAGTGATCGAATATTGATTGAGCAGTTACGTGAGGCGATACGTGATGAACTTTCGTTGGTACCAGCATACGATGATGATTTCAGTTTGCTTCGATGGATTACTGGATGGGATCGAAAAATCGGTTTTAATTTTTTTTCTTTTTTTTTTGCTAACAGAGGATTATTGGGAAATAATGGTGATGAATAGTGAAAAGTAAATACTTACCTTATCCTATGCACTGGGTCTATCCAATTTGTTAGGCAATTTTAATTCTCTGTTATCAATTTATTTAGGCTTATCTTACTCTACACTTTTCATTACTCTTAAAAGTCGATGAAGTTTTCTAATTTTAACCATACTATTTTAGAGCAATGATCAGTTATACTGAAATATTTTAGATCTTTTAGCACAACATCTATTAATTAATCAGTTTTACTGAGTCATTTCTGGAGTATGCTGGCAAATTCAGTAAATTGGATGTTTCTAAAAAATGATTGAATGATTGAATAGATAATTAGATTTGTTGAATAGATTTATGATTAAATTTATTGAATAGAATATGGGACTAATTGAATAGATTTATTCACAGCTTTATGTTTCTAGATTTGGTAATACCAAAAATTAAGTCATCACTTCGTGCCATATCAGCTCTTGGACTTGACAAGCAGGACTTTTCAACTCTCGAGAAAATCTCAGCTTACTGTGATTCTATCAGTGAACCACTACAGTATATTCCAGGTTGTTTGTTTTTCTCGAAATATTTTTTTGAAAAAAAGTTTTACCATTAAATCATTTGGCTTAATTTAAAGCATAAAAATAGGTCAGCAGTATTTATGATAATAATTTTAGCCGTTTATCTATTCAGCTGGACATTTCGAAATCTCTTTTAATATGTAATGTAATGATAATGATAATGTAACAAAGGACAGCGTAATAATAATGATAATGGTGATGTAATAATAATGATAATGATAATGTAGGCAAAGAAATTCTTTTTTCGCTTTCATTATAAAAGATATTCTCCATAAAATTATGCTAATTAAAATTATGAAAAAATAAAAAAATGAAATAAAGTTATCCAATAATAAAAGAAATAAAATTATTTTAAAAGATGTTAATTCTTATTTATTTATAGGTTCGTTACTTGGTTATGATAAAGAACACAATATCATTTCACTGCAGACAATTGGTCGCCTAGATGTACGTGGTTTACTACCATGCATACGAAATTCAGATTTGTATATTTTGCGGATTTCTGAAACTGAAGGTGTTATGAGTTTGATAAGGTACGTTTCAGTTTATTGGACAAAATCTTTGCAAATTCATCAATGATGCTGATAATGACTGCTTATCACTTGATTAAGAATGACGGAGTTGAAATTTCATATACTAGTATGTAGTAGTTTATGTTCAGAATACGGTGGAGTTACTTTTTCGCAATCCATAGTGAACAAGTAAGGTTTTTTTTTCTTTGGTGATTTGCTACTATTAAGTCATCTAGATCTGGCAAACAATTTTCTATGCAACGGAGTAGGTTTTTTCAAGATTTGAACATATATTATTGAAAATGGTTTAATTATGCAACTGTTAATTGATCACTACTAAAAGTAGTTTTTTGATTTTTAGGCAAAACGAGAAAATTCTGGGACGTCAACTTGGTACCGTTGTCATATTTGATTTTGATGAAATTAGCATGGATATGTTATGGATGCCTGCTGTCAAAATAGTCACAACGATGATTTCGCAGTTGCAGGTTTTTTTTTTTCTGTATCTCATCATTATTTCGTAGTAATACTGGCATGAGAAAGGAAACTAAAATGGTTCTTTTCTTCTTTGCGGACCTGTATGTTTAATTCTTTCTCCAGCTATTTATTAATTTTGATTAAAACTGTTGAATTCAGGAGATGTTTCCGGATGTTATACATAAACTTTTCCTTATCAATACACCAACCTTTTTCCGAATGATATGGATATTAGTAAGTCCGTGCCTTGCGAAACATACGCAGCAGAAAGTAAGAATACTTGGAGCTGACTGGAAGGAAAAACTGAAGGAATGTATCGATGAAAATGTATTATATCAACAGTGGGGTGGTGTGCGTGAAGCAGAAACACCATTTGGACATATTCGTATGGGTGGCAAAGTTCCAGAAAGGTTTAGGTATTTAATTTCGTGTTATTATAAATCTCAATTACATAGCGCATTCCTTTTTTCAATATGGATTTTTTATATTTTCAAATATAAGCAACATGGTCTTCTTAAATTTTATTCAGAAGTAATACTTTGTCTCTACCATGAGTTTAGCTTGGTATGAAATGATAGGAAAGAAATTTGATCAGCAATACCAACTTTGGTTTAATAGCAATTGATGCAATTCAAAATACCATCTAGTCTCATTTCAGAATGTTGTAATATTAACGACTGAGTGTTTCTGCTATCAGAATGTCATAATATTAAGGACTGAATGTTCTGCTATCTAAAAGGAAGAAAGTTCGAAGAAATTTTCTGCTTTTTAGATGTCAAGTAATCGATGAGCTAACAGTAGCAGAACATATTTCAATTAGCTAATAAAATGGTTGACTATTCAGACTTGTCTTAAAATTTAATACATCAGTTACTAAAAAAAAATTTCCCAATAAGTATTAAAAATTTCCCAATAAAAGTGAAAGTTATATGTTTTTTTTAGGTATGACCCATCGAATGATGTTCCGGCATCCAAGTTACAAAAGTTAAAAATACCTGCGGGCGCATTGAATTCCGTCCCAGTGGTTATAGAAGGTGATTTTTCAATAAATCATGCAGCATCCGTTGGTATTTTACAGTCAACTTTCACTTTTATTGCTTTCAGCAAAATAGCATGGTGTAAAAATCTAGGAAAGAATATTGATATTAGTTATTTCAGGATGTAATCCAAATCGGAAATTATCATGGTGGTGGAGAATTGAAAGTGGTGATATTGACTTTTCAGTTGTCAGATCTGGTGATCCAGTAAATTCAAATAACGATAACAGTCAGGATGTCATTATTTGGCCAAGATTTCGTCTTCAAACTCCATACGTACCAGAAAGTGGCAAGGTATGTTGTTAGCATAGCAAGTATCGTACGCGGCTTAAATTATTAAGCTATTTCCCATTTTATTTTAAACTAATGTACTTTTTAACTAATGTACATTTTATGCATTTTTCATTATTGATTGTCTCGGAAGTAAAGTATCTTATAGATAAAGACGTGGTAATTCCGATACTTTGAAACATATGCTACAGCTTATGAAATATGAGGTGTGAGATTAATTACCTCATGGAGTATAGAATGATTCTTCATAAGTTGGCATTTGACATTAATAATATTTTTTTCCCAGTAGGTCAAAAATGATGACTAAGCTTTTCTAATATTCAGATATGCTGCTAGGAGGAAGTTTGGGAATGCTATTTATTGAATATTTGAATACTGATATTCTATGGGATGGTCTCAAATCACTTTTTTTCTATTTTTTAAACGAACAAATATATTTCCAGGTTCCGTGTGTTATACCTGGAACTTACAAATTGGTATTTGACAATACGTATAGCAGATTTTATTATAAAATAATCAATTATCATTTCGAAATACTGCACGATTGAATTTCTTCCACTAATTTGCATTATAATCAAAATATTCTTAACACCATCAATTTTTACATGTCTTTAAAATCTGACTAAATTTTTTTGTAAAATAATTTCTCTTTGTCTTTATTAGTCATATTATAGCTCATTGTAGGAGCTACGGGTCTAAAAAAAAAAACTTTTCTTATACTTTAAATAATTGTAACTCTTCCCTGGTGACGTCATCATCGTGATGTTCATCCTATTACGATACCTTATTTCATTTCATTACCTTATTTATATATATATTTTTATTGACCTCTAATTTTATATTTTCATTGTACCTCTTCATTCTTAATTTTCACTTGATTTATTTCATGCTAATCTTTGATCTATAAAGAGGGTAGAGAGATGAGAAGGGCAAAGAATTTTTTCTTTACATTTTTATGATCAATTTAAATGTTGTAAAAGTCATCCTTTCACAATGTTTAAATTAATAATTCAACAAATTCTTACTAAAATATGGCAGTTTCCAAAATTGCTGTATTTTGATCGATGAAGTTTACAGCAATTTATGTTATTTTCATTTATATTCATTATTTTTTTCTACCTTATGATTGTATTTATGATACATTTCCAATTTTCCATTCAATCAACATATTTTATAAAAACTAATTTGCAAAATGTTGTATTAGAAGAAAACCATAAAACATTGGTTGTTGCATATATTGCTATATTCAATGATTTTGATTCAATAATTTATGTCTAGATTAAGATATAATTAAATTCCATGTATCTACGTAATTCAAACGTAGATACATAGAATTTAATTAATTATAAAATAGTTTTTGACCTCATGTTCAAACTATTATCATTCTACTAATCGACCAACAATGAGTGGAGTATAATATATTTAAATGATTTAATTTTAATGCAAGAATTTTGGCTAGCTATTAGTATTAGGATGACATGATGCAATTATATTTTGCTTCTAGTTTCATGCTAATGAAAATTTTGGTCATAAATTTAATATATTTAGGAAGAAAAAAAGGAAAAAAAAAGTTGCTAGAATGGTAAGATTAATGATAGACTATAATGATGTACTATTCTCTTTACTACAAAATATTGAAGAGATTTTGAAATATTGTTGGATATTTTGATGATTGTTCAAATGAAGTATCGATGAGATTTATAATGAAAACGAAACAACTGAATTTATCAAAAATTACAGAACCGATTGGAATTCAACAATTATCAATCATCATTAACTTATTAGCTAGCTTAAATTAGACAATACCATGAGTTGAATGTAATGCATTTTAATTTCATAAAATTGAATTGAATAATTGGAATCATGGAATAGAAGCAGAAATTAGCACAAGGATCAATCAATTATGTCAACTTTTTTCAATTTGAAAACGATATTTTGGTTCATAAAATGACAACTTTTTCCATCCATATGCTGTCCACTTTTGACCTTTACTGTCACAAAATCATCACTTTTTATTGATAAGAGTGAAAGAATTTCTCGATTTATTGACAAGATATATTTGTTATATGTCGCCGAGTAAAAAAAAAAAAAATTTCATTCTGAAATTTCCTCAAATTTTTCAAAATGAAAAAAAAATTTTTTAATTTTACTTTTTCAATGAAAAACAAAACTTCAGTATGTATAAATTTGTAGCAAAGAATTTGTGCATTAAAGTTTTCCTTTTTAATTTTAATTTTTAAAATAAATTTTTCTCAATCATTTTTTTTTTTGGTGGTAATATTTTTAATTTTGTTTCAAAATTTATAAGCGTTTTATTTCTTGTAATTTTAATGAACAGGCTATTTAAGGACAGTTTTTGTAATATTGGTTTGATCGATTTTTGTATATCTCAAAGTGTATTCGAAATCTTTTGCTGGGCAAATAAGCTATTTGTTCAGCATTTTTTTTTTGCCAATAATTTAACCAAATAAATTAAGTAATATTTCAAATTTTTATTTAATTACAATGAAGAAAAAATGAAAAATATTAAGCAACATTTACTAGAACAATAAGACATTTGAAATTTATCCTATCTATAGTTTTGCTAAACAAATAAATTATAGTAAAGAATTTTAGAGTATAAATTCGATTTCAGGCAAATTATTACACTTGCTTTATGTAATGATAATTTTTCATTTGAATAGTTTTTCTTTGGCATTTATATTTGCAGAATTATTAATGCGAATTAGGCTTATATTAATTACGCATCAATTTTAATTATTTCAATGCGATTAACCATCTATTTTAGTTATTCCAATAATTTGATCAATATTAGAATAATTATTGACAAAGTATTAATTGCGCACCAATTTTAATTATTTCAATACAATTAATTATTTATTTCAATTATTCCAATAATTTAATCAGTATTAGAATAATTATTGACGAAGTATTAATTACGCATCTATTTTACTCATTTCGAT